CACACACAGATAGATAGATAGATAGAGAGAGAGAGAGAGACAGACAGACAGACAGACAGACACAGACAGACAGACACACACACACAGACAGACACAGACAGACACACACACACACACAGACACACAGACAGCATCAGTCAGTCAGTCGATGGATGGATGGATGGATGCAGGAGTGCATGCGGCGGCTGTACCTTGTACCAGGAGTTCTTGCGCATGTTCAGGCGGCCCATCCACATGTCGGAGAGCAGCATCTGTGTGCAGGTGTGAGCCACGAACGGCCGGAGGCGCGACGACACTGCCAGCTTCAGACAGGTGGAGTTGCTCCAGTTCTTCAGCTCGTACATCAGCAGCTTCATGGCCATCGTCTCGTCCTGCCTGAACGACTGCTCCAGCAGATCCACCGCCAGCGTGCCGAACTCACTGAGCACAGACACACACTCAGAAAAACACTCAAAACACCATCAAACCGCTTCACACTCACTCTGAGAGCAATCCAGATCCATTTCCAGCATCCCCTCGTTTTGAGTCTCGTATAGCTAAACATTTTTTTTTTCTTTGTTCTTCCTTTTTTTGAATATCGCTTTACACAAAAGCATCTGCTAAATACATAAACGTAAAAAAAAATTTGTTTACGCTCTGAAATTGTAAATTATACAAAGATTTTGAATATTTAGAATTCAGTTTTTATTTTTATATATTTTTTATGTTTATTATAGTTCAAGTTTTAAATTTTTTTTTGTTTTGTCATTTGTATTAGTTTTTTTGGTAACATTTTACAATAAGGTTCACTAGTTATCATTAGTTAACTACTTATGTTAACATGAACTAAGCATGAACTATACTTCTACAGCATTTATTAATCTTAGCTAATGTTAATTTCATCATTTACTAATGCATTATTAAAAGTGGTCCTTGTTAACATTAGTTAATACACTGTGGATTAACATGAACTAACAATGAACGACTGTATTTTCATTAACTAACATTAACAAAGATTAATAAATACTGTAATAAATGTACTGTTCATGGTTTGTTCATGTTAGTTAATACATTAAGTAACATTAACTAATGGAACCTTATTGTAAAGTGTTACCGTTTTTTATGTCTACATCATAGTTTTTAATTTTTATTTCAGTTGTAGTTTGTTATATTAGTACATCAAGTTAAACTAAATTAAAATGAGAAATGTTGCCTATTTGAAAAGTTTTTTATATTTTATTTTATTTCAGTGAATGTTTATTTTATTTTAAGCAATGAAAATTTTTTTTTTGTGGTTTTAATTTTAGTTTCAGTTAACTTTAATAACCCTGTCTGGAGATCAAACGGTAGATTATGGCAATAGCAATGTCAAGGTCATGGTTCAGATCCCAGGGAAAGCAAGAGCTAATAAAAATTTACCTTGAATATAACACAAGTCGCTTCGGATAAAAGCATCTGCCAAATGCACCAGTGTTTTTGGTTTTGGTCTGACTGACAGAGACTCACTTGGAATACTCCTTCAGCTCCTCGGATGTGTCGTCCACCACGTCGCTCTTCTTGGCCTCGTATCCCATGGAGCGCAGCAGTTTGCAGGCCACCAGAGCTTTGGCCATGGACTCCTCGCCGTGCTGCCAGAAGAACAGAGACATCTTCTGCCGCTTCATCAGCACGGCCCACACCAGAAGCTCGTTGAAGGGGTACGGGAACCTGCGCGTCTCCGGATCGTCGATGTCCACCACCTCCTCCTTACTCTTCTTCTTCTGCTGCTCGGAGACAGAGTCCAGCTGAGGAGGAAAAACACACGATCAAACACACGCTGCTGCGAGAGATGCGACAGACAAACACGCTCAAACACTCGTCTTACCCTGGGTTTGTAGGGCTGCGCCGTGTTGATGAAGTGATTGTGTCGCGTTTTCTCTTTTTTATCTGCCTGAATGCTGAAGGACTCATGGGAGCTGCCAGCTGTGTGTCGACCTGACCGCTGACAGACAGAACGGATGGAGAGACAGACAGATGGATGGACAGAACAACAGACAGACAGAAAAAGATGGATGAAGAGACAGATAGAACAGACACACAGACAGAACAACAAATGGACAGACAGACAGATAGATGGACAGAACAACAGACAGACAGATGGACAGAACAGACAGACAGAACAACAGCCACACAGACAGAACAATAGACGGACACACAGACAGATAGATGGACAGAACAACAGACAGACAGAACAACAGACACACAGACAGAACAACAGACGGACAGACAGATAGATGGACAGAACAACAGACAGACAGAACAACAACAGACACACAGACAGAACAACAGACGGACAGACAGACAGACAGATATATGGACAGAACAACAGACACACAGAAAGAACAACAGACAGACAAACAGAACAACAGACGGACAGACAGACAGACAGATATATGGACAGAACAACAGACACACAGAAAGAACAACAGACAGACAAACAGAACAACAGACGGACAGACAGACAGACAGACAGATAGATGGACAGAACAGACAGACAGAACAACAAACGGACAGACAGAACAACAGATGGACACACAGACAGATAGATGGACAGAACAACAGACGGACAGAAAGACAGACAGATGGAGAGACAGATAGAACAACAGACAGATAGATGGACAGAACAACAGACGGACAGAAAGACAGACAGATGGAGAGACAGATAGAACAACAGACAGATAGATGGACAGAACAACAGACAGACAGAACAACAGACACACAGACAGAACAACAGATGGACAAGACAGACAGACAGATGGACAGAACAACAGACACACAGAAAGAACAACAGACAGACAAACAGAACAACAGACGGACAGACAGACAGACAGACAGATAGATGGACAGAACAACAGACGGACAGACAGACAGATAGATGGACAGAACAACAGACAGACAGACAGAACAACAGATGGAGAGACAGATAGAACAACAGACAGATAGATGGACAGAACAACAGACAGACAGAAAGACAGACAGATGGAGAGACAGATAGAACAACAGACAGATAGATGGACAGAACAACAGACAGACAGAAAGAACAACAGACACACAGACAGAACAACAGACGGACAGACAGATGGACAGAACAACATACACAGAGACAGAACAACAGACAGACAGATAGATGGACAGAACAGACAGACAGAACAACAAACGGACAGACAGAACAACAGATGGACACACAGACAGATAGATGGACAGAACAACAGACACACAGACAGAACAACAGATGGACAAGACAGACAGACAGATGGACAGAACAACAGACACACAGACAGAACAACAGATGGACAAGACAGACAGACAGATGGACAGAACAACAGACACACAGACAGAACAACAGATGGACAAGACAGACAGACAGATGGACAGAACAACAGACACACAGAAAGAACAACAGACAGAACAACAGATGGACAGAACAACAGACGGACAGACAGACAGACAGAACAACGGACAGACAGACAGATAGATGGACAGAACAACAGACAGACAGACAGAACAACAGACACCAAGACGGACAGATGGACAAGACAGACAGACAGATGGACAGAACAACAGACAGACAGAACAACAGACACACAGACAGAACAACAGATGGACAAGACAGACAGACAGATGGACAGAACAACAGACAGACAGACAGACAGACAGAAAAACACAGACAGATAGACGGACAGAACAGACAGACAGGACAACAGACGGACAGAAAGACAGACAGACAGAACAACAGACACACAGACAGAACAACAGATAGATGGACAGAACAACAGACGGACAGAAAGACAGACAGATGGAGAGACAGATAGAACAACAGACAGATAGATGGACAGAACAACAGACAGACAGAACAACAGACACACAGACAGAACAACAGACGGACAGACAGATGGACAGAACAACATACACAGAGACAGAACAACAGACAGACAGATAGATGGACAGAACAGACAGACAGAACAACAAACGGACAGACAGAACAACAGATGGACACACAGACAGATAGATGGACAGAACAACAGACAAACAGAACAACAGACACACAGACAGAACAACAGACGGACAGACAGACAGATAGATGGACAGAACAACAGACAGACAGACAGAACAACAGACAGACAGACAGAACAACAGACACACAGACAGAACAACAGACGGACAGACAGATGGACAGAACAACATACACAGAGACAGAACAACAGACAGACAGATAGATGGACAGAACAGACAGACAGAACAACAAACGGACAGACAGAACAACAGATGGACACACAGACAGATAGATGGACAGAACAACAGACAAACAGAACAACAGACACACAGACAGAACAACAGACGGACAGACAGACAGACAGATATATGGACAGAACAACAGACACACAGAAAGAACAACAGACAGAACAACAGATGGACAGAACAACAGACGGACAGACAGACAGACAGAACAACGGACAGACAGACAGATAGATGGACAGAAAAACAGACAGACAGACAGAACAACAGACACACAGACGGACAGAACAACATACACAGAGACAGAACAACAGACAGACAGATAGACGGACAGAACACAGAACAGACACAACAGACGGACAGAAAGACAGACAGACAGAACAACAGACACACAGACAGAACAACAGACAACAGATACAGACAGACAGATGGACAGAACAACAGACACACAGACAGAACAACAGATGGACAAGACAGACAGACAGATGGACAGAACAACAGACACACAGACAGAACAACAGACAGATAGATGGACAGAACAACAGACGGACAGAAAGACAGACAGATGGAGAGACAGATAGAACAACAGACAGATAGATGGACAGAACAACAGAC